TCCCAACTGAGCAAGAGGGATCGGACAAGGAGGAGAAGGAGAATCAGGAGCCCCAGCCAAAGGAGCAGCAGAGCAAAACAAAACCGAACCCCAAAGCTTCGCCTAAGGGCAAGGCGAAGGCAAAGTCCAAAGCCAAAGCAAAGGCCGCTGCAAAAGCCACGGCTGAGCCGCAAAGCAAGGGCAAACCCAGCAACAAGAGAAAGGCGGATGAGGAAGCTTCCGGGAAAGATGATCGCGTTAAGAAGCCTCGGGCACCCAAGGGCACCCAAGACACCTTCGCCGGTCGGCGGGTACCCAAAACGGATCCGTCCAGGGTTGCCTTCTATGCTGTCAAGAAGGCTTTCGAGGGAATTGCAGGAGAGCTACCCAATCCATCCACATTGCAGGACCGATTGCTCCACACGCACAAGTAGTCTTGGAAAAGAACCTCTTCATGTTGTTTATTCAACATCCTGACATGAAGGATGACTTTTGGAAGTTCGCGCGGTTCGAGCTCAAGGGTGATTTCGAGAAACATGCCGTCGAGCTGGCCCGCCAGTTCCTACGATCCGTTCAATGCTAAGGCCTTCTTTCCTTGTAATGCATAATGCTAGCCAGCTTTTGGAGTAGCTGCATTCTCTGAGCTCTGCTTCCGTGGACTTGCAGGACGACGAGTTGAGCCAGGTTTAGTCTGAGACGAATTCGTCTGAGACGAACTTTTGAGTGTTCTTTTCGGGGCATCAAGAATGCCCCTTCAACATGAAACAAACTTATAAGTATGCTCTGTGAGTCAGAGTTGCCTGCCCTTCGATGCAAGTGTGCCCGGCACTCAAACTTCAAACCTTTTTGTAAAATCAGCTTGGCAGCTCATGTCAGGTGTGTAACCTGATAACCCAAGCCCTGTGCCATAAAGCGCTAGAGCCATCAAAACCCCGAACAGTGAAAGCCTCACCCCATTAATCTAGCCCTTGCTTAAGCACCCACCCATTCATCATTCAGGGTTTAGCGGTTTAGGGTTTAGGCGTTTAGGGTTCAGGGGTTCAGGGTTTGCTGCGACCCAATAACCCCTAAACCCAAAAGCCCCTAAACCCCCAAACCCCATATCCCTCAAACCCCGAATCCTTCGCACTAAGTTCTGGTTTTCTACTGGGCTGGGGAGTGCCTTAGAACACACACCGTCATCGAAGCTGGGGTTGCCAAGGCAGGCAGCAATCAGCAACATCAGGGCAAGAGTGCGCGCGTGAAAAGATTCGTTTCGTCTGCAGCTGATACTCTTTAGTACATCTGGGCTCTGCGTCCGAACATCCGAAGCTGGAGAGTCTGAACCCACGCATCCTCAAACCCTAACAACCCTGACGCTGATCCTAGATCCTTGCCAGGTACACTCCGATGCCGCCGCGACCACTGGCAGCGTTCTGCAAGTGGGGGATCAATACCTCATCCGGTGCAGATCTCCATGTTTATTTGGGCTGTGTTGGGCCGGAGAATCAGGGTGAATCAGGGCATTTGGGGATGATGAGTTTGGGGCTATATTCAGGATAGGGCTAGGGGCCGGGTGGATTGTATTATTGTCGCTCAAGGATTTAGGGTTACTTCGGATTCCCATTCCTCTGATGTTTGGATCACTGTGACTGGAATCCAGGTTATGAATTTAATGGTTCAGAGGTTTCGTGGCCCAGAAGTGAATTTGCTTAATGCACCACTCAACAACGAGGTCATGGGGTAGCGGCTCCAGTTATTGCACTGCCATGCAACACCGCTGATGCTCATGATGCGCGTGTCTTGTCCGCCCCCAAACCTGTTTGTCCTGCTGTATGACGGAAGGCTTGGCTCTGTAGTTCTGCAGTTCTGCAAAACCAAATTAAAGCAGGGTATCGAAGTTGCCTGTTTGCAGATCATCCGTAACGCTGCAGCAGACATCGTCAAACACAGTCTGGTAGTGCATGCGAAGTGAGGAAGCTCGTTCCTGATACCGCCATGAATGCTCAACAGATCGATCAGACTATCCGGCGACTGATACATTATGGAGCCCCAAAGGCTGCCTGCCTCATTTGTGCCGGTTGTATTTTGCTGGGACCCAGAAGCCACCAGTGCTCACTTCCCAACATCTCAAACAGATCTAGCATCCAAGTTTCAAACCCCATAGCTGCTTGCCGAGACCTTGGTTCAACCCAGGCTTTCATCATGCTGGTGGTGCTTGTGGCTTCCCTACGGATTGGCCTCGGAGGCTCTCATTATCAGGTTGTAGAGTTCTTCGCAGGGCAACGAAGGATCTGTAGATTGGCTGCCAGCATCAATCTCACGGTGCAAGCTCATGACCTATCATACGACGACAACCTTGACAGCGCCTTCAATATCAATCGGGAATCTGGTTTTCTGCCAGCTGCTTACTATCGCTCTTCTAGTGGAGTTGCCACGCAATGAGCTGTGATACGTAGCTCTCAGTTTTCTCCCTATCTCAAAATCCCAGGCTGGCTTTGGCGAGCATCCTCCATTCCAAATGGAACGACGTGCTATGCCC